AAAAGAAAACAATAGAAACAATCAATAAACCTTAGCCGGTTTGACTCAGTGGATAGAGCGTTGGTCTGTGGACTGAATGATTCCAGATTTGATACGGGTCAAGGGCACATGCCTGGGTTTCAGTCTCTATCCCCCAGTAGGGGGCGTGCTGATCAATGATTCTCTTTCATGATTGATGTTTCTATCTCTCTGTCCCTCTCCCTTCCTTTCTGAAATCAATAAAAATATCTTTTAAAAAAAGAAAGAAACAATCAATGAAACCAAGAGCTGGTTCTTTGAGTAAACACAATTGGTAAGCCTATACAGACTCAACAAGAAAAAAAAAGAAAAAAGAAAAAAAAAGAGGGAGGGCCCAAATAAAATCAGAAATGAAAGGGGAGCCGAAACAGGTTTGGCTCAGTGGATAGAGCATTGGCCTGTGGACTGAGGGGTCCCGGGTTCAATTCCGGTCAAGGGCATGTACCTGGGTTGCGGGCACAGCCCTAGTGGGGGGTGTACAAGAGGTTTCTCTCTCACCAATGTTTCTAACTCTATCCCTCTCTCTGCCTCTCTGTAAAAAATCAATAAAATATATTTAAAAAGAAAGGATTATAAGGAAACACTATAATTATATACCAACAAATTAGACATCCTGGAAAAAATGGATAAATTCCTAGAAACATAGATTCTTCCAAGGCTGAATTAGAAATAGAAATTCTGAACAGACTTATTACTGTTAATGTAAAAAGATTCAAACCTGTAAAAGAAGTTTTGTGAGTTTATTTGAGTCATACTGTTGATAATTGCTGGGAAGCAGAATCTCAACGGATGGGAAAAATGCTTCAGAGAATGGCGGTTTTTCATCTATTTTTATACATTGCTATCAAAGGAGGAGCTGTAAGTGGGTTACATGAAATCAGTTGGTAATAGATTAGAGAGGCGGGAGAAAGCAAAGTGAGGAAACCTCTGGGATTGGATAAAGAGTAAAATGATAAGATACATATCAATACTTCTTTTACTGGAGTGAGTACAGGGTAGCTAACAGACAGCAATTAACATGATAATAACAACAATGAAGGAATTTGTGGTATCTGTCCAGGCACCCAGGACAGATTTGGTTGTGCTCTGAGGAAACCAGAAAAAAGGAAAGTTGTTACCCCCACATTTCAATGATATGTTATCATAGATGCAAAAAGACAGTAAGCTCAGTTAAGGTAAAGGTTGACCTTGTCAGGGACAAGGTGACTACCCACCATAACTGCTTTAGTTAAGGTTTAATTTCAGATCATCCTTTGTGGTTGGTTACTTTAGGTTTTTGAGTTTGCAAGACTGCCATGCAGACCTCCCCTGAGCTTGTCAGGTCAGCATGCGGCCCCTTTCGTCCTAATGAAATGGAACTAGTAACAAAAAAAAAAAAAAAAACCCCTCCAAGAAACAAAAGTTATGGACTTGATGGTGCCATAGATGAATTTTACCAAACATTCCAACAATTAATATCTATACTTCTCAAACTATTCAAAAAAATTCAAGAAGGGAGATGGCTACCAAACTCATTTAATGAGGCTAGCATTACTATATGCCAAAACCAGAAAAAGACACTAAAAAAAAGAGATAGGCCAATATCTCTGATAAATTTTGATTTAAAATTTCTCAATAAACTATTAGCCAAATTCAATAATACATTAAAAAATACATGGCACAATAAGTGGGATTTATTCTTGGGATGCGAAGTTGGAACAATATTTGCAAATCAATTGTTGTGACACACCACATTATAAAAGTAAAAAAATATAATCATATTATCCTATCAATAGATATAGAAAAAACACTGACAAGTGTTTCTACTAAGTGTAGAAACTACTCCATAGTATATCCTGCCTGGGACATTCATAGTATGTGTAATACCATCGGGAGGCTCTGAGAGAATAGAAGGTAGTGAAAGAACTTTACTTTCCTAACCCAGAATTGCTTGCTCTGTAAGTGAAACCGAACAATCAGCGGTCTGTGCTGCCTGTCACTACTTGAGCCAATTAAGCAGAGACAGGGTTGAATCATATATGAACTTTTATTCCAAAAATGCCTGAGTATGGGAAAGCGGCAGGTCAGCCACAAAAATCTTCTCTTCAGCCCCCCATAAGCCAGCTGCTTATATTGGGTAAAACAAAGGTTACATGGGGAAGTAGGGATTACAGGAATGGGGAAGTAGGAGGGTGGGGTGAGCCACAGGGTTGTTAATCTTTCATGGTAATAGGCAGTTCTTGAATGAGAATGGTTTCAAGGTTGATTCTTAGGTCCAAGGTTGACTCCAGGTCCAAGGTTGACTCCCAGGTCCTAGGGACTTACAACTTCCAACCAAGTTAAAATGTCCTTGCTTTAAAAATAAATAAATGAATGAATAAATAAATAAATAAATAAACAAGCAAACAAATAAATAAAATAAAAATAAAAAAATTAAAACACGCATTTTTATTGATTTCAGAGAGGAAGGGAGAGGGAGAGATAGAAACATCAATAATGAGAATCATTGATTGGCTGCCTCCTGCACATCCCCTAGTGGAGGTCAAGCCAGCAACCTGGGTATGTGCTCTTGGCTGAAATAGAACCCAGGACCCTTCAGTCCACAGGCTGATGCTCTATCCACTGAGCCAAACCAGCTAGGCTTAGAATGTCCTTTCTTTTACGTGAACAAGGCAATCATGGTTAATAGAGCATGATTAATATTTCTTATAAACATAACTAATCCCCAATATTTTATTTTTACCCTTAAAATAAGTATATCTATTAATATCCACAGATTGCACTTTGGGAAATACTGATCAAGCTTTTTTTATAGTTAGTTACCCTTTAAACATTTCTCCTCTTCAGAGAATGGAGGCAGAGAGTTAGATATATGGACTTTGGATTCAGACAGCCTGGGTTCCAAACTTAATTCTGCTATTTATCAGTTTTGTGACCTTAAGTAAATGACTTAACCTTTTTCAATATCAATCTTCCCATTTTTAAAATGAGCATCATAATAGCACCACTCTTATAGAGTTGTTGGAAAGTTTTAAATAACTTCGATGAAGTTCTTAGTACCTGGCATATAGAAAGTTTTCAAAATTTTTATAATTATTACCAGGGGCCCAGTGCACGAAATTCATGCACGGGGGAGGGGTCCCTCAGCCCAGCCTTCCCCCCCTCACATACTGGGAGCACTCAGGGGATGTCCTATGGATGCCTTAAGCCTGCTCCCCATTGGGAGCGGACCTAAGCCACAGTCTGGCCTCCCTTTGCTTGAGGCAACCAGGCTGATCAGGGGAAAGTGCCGCACCATCACCCAGCTGCTGCAGCCACTGCCAGCCACGGCAGCCACCAAGGTGTAGGTGTTTTCATCAACACAGACTCTAGTCCCTTCACCATGAAAAAATGACAACTTTCTTTAAGCATTTTCAAGATGTCTTTCATAGGATATGACATTTCTTTGTTTATTTTTCTTTTTATCCTCACCTGAGGATGTTTTCATTGATATTTTACCCTTCCCTCTGATCCCAAGCTCAGCTCCTTTCCAAGCCAAAAGCATCCCGCCCAGGTTTAGGCTTGGGAAGGGGCCACCCCCACACACCTCCAATCGCAAGCTCAGCCCCCTTCCCAAGCCTAAAGCCTCCTCCCCAGGCTTTAGGCTTAGGAAGGGGTTCCCCCCAGCACTTCTGATCACAGGCTCGGCCCCTTCCCAAGCCTAAATAAAGCCTTTGCCTGATGGCTGGCTGGGAGTGACCTGGGTGCTTAAGGTCAGGTGTGTATGCAAATTAACCGCCATCTTTGTTGGGTTAATTTGCATACTCACTCTGGCTGTGGGCATAGCGAAAAGTACGGTCAATTTACATGTTTCTTTATTATCAGGTAAGACTGTATTGCTACTAATGGAGAAGGCTCAGGTGCCTACATTTAACAAGGGAGTCATTCTTATGATTTCTCCCCTTGACCTTGTCATTCAGAAGCAATGATGAATCTCCCAACAGGCCTCCTTTTCCATCAGAATCTGTTCCAAATGAGATCTATCACATCAAAATCTATAGAAAATCTCCCTTGCAGGCAAAGTGCAGAGATAAATTTGTCTAATCCAGTTCAAGTATCCAACCTAACAAGTATATCTAACAAGTTTACCGTCCTTATAGTTCTGATTTTCCAATCCTTTCCCCTTTCTGTCTCTTGGGCTTTTCAGGTCCAGTGCTACTTTGGCTAATTTCTTTGTGTTTCCCTTTCTCTTTCATCAAGCATCCACTGTACTCCTTTAGGGTCACCTGGCTCTGCTTTACGAACTCCCCAGCGTTCAACACATTCTCATGGCCTACCTAAGGGGTCCCTGAATGTATGCATCCCTCTGAGCCTTCGCTTGCAGGACGTGACTCTGGCTGAAGACAGGGTCTGATGTTTACCTAGCTCGAGGAGAAGAATGAAAAGAAAACACTTGGCTTCTTTGGCAAGCTACCTGATAAAACGGCTGAAATCCAAGAAGCCCTTCGTGGTGAGGAGAGAGGCTGCGAGCCCAGCAGGAAGAAGGCAGAGAGACCCAGTGACAAAGGTTGAGTTTTTCTACGGCAAGCACACACACCCCTTTCCCCAAACGTTCTCCAGAAAGCTGCTGACGGGGCTTTGGCAAAGGACCATCCTCCCGCTGGCTTGATAAGCTCAGCCTGTTTTATATTTAACTCCCTCCAGCGCCCGAGGGGCGGGGTGGGGATGCATTGCTTATAAGGCAGCTGGGGAACAGTTTTCTCTGGACAGTCCTCTCCCTCCCGCTCAGCTCCTCGCAGGCTTCCTGGAGTTGGCTGGGGCGAACGTGCAGGGAGAGAAGAAGCCAGAGAGAGAGAGAGAGGAGAGAAAGAGAGAGAGGTGGGGGGGGAGAAAGTGAGAACGGGCTTCCCAAATCAGGGCATTCCTTCCCATTTAACAAAGGAAGTCTGCCGACCACGTCCGCCTGCTCCGCCTGCTCGTTCTAACATCCTCTCCCAGGGCAGCCTCTGACTTTGGGAACAGCCATGAACTTTGCGGAGGCAGAGGACTCCAAGAGGTACTGCATTCGAGGCAAACATGCGGCCGCGATCTGCGCCACGGTGGTGGCTGTGGGGTTGATCGTGGGACTCTCCGTCGGCCTGACCAGGTCATCGTGCGGCCCAGCGGACAGCGCCCCCACCTCCCCCTCCACCTCCACCTCCACCTCCACCTCCGCGCCCCCCAGCTCCGGCCCCCCCGAGGAGCAGGGGGTCTGCCCGGCCAGCGAGGACGAGAGCGGCGGCTGGAGGGAGTTCAGGCTGCCCGCCTGGGTGAGCCCGGTGCACTACGACCTGGAGGTGCAGCCGCTGCTGGAGGCGGACACGTACACGGGCTCCGTGGCCATCGCCGTGAACCTGAGCGCGCCCACGCGCCACCTGTGGCTGCACCTGCGCGAGACCCGGGTCAGCCGGCCCCCCGCGCTGGCGGCGCCCGCGGGGGCGGCGGTGCGGCTGCGGCGCTGCTTCGAGTACCGGAGGCAGGAGTACCTGGTGCTGGAGGCCGAGGAGGAGCTGCCGGCCAACGCCGCCCAGGGCCCCTTCTACACCCTCACCCTGCACTTCGCCGGCCAGCTCAACGGCTCGCTCGTGGGCTTCTACAGGACCACGTACGTGGAGAACGGGCAGACCAAGTAAGTGCTGATTTTTCTTCCCCCCCCCCCCCACCCGGTCTATTTCTCCTAAACGCAGGTGCCTGCTTTTTCTTTCTTTTTCGAGTTCCACCCTTGAATGAGTGGTTGCTCTGATATGTATTCTTGACGTCAATGCTGCCTGTTTTTCTGGGAAGCAAAAAAAGTCTTGCCCTGGGGTAAGTTCCTAATCATAACATTTGAAAGTGTTGAGTGAACTGCACAGAGAGGAGAGAGAGAGAGAGAGAGAGAGAGAGAGAGAGAGAGAGAGAGAGAGAGAGAGAGAGAGAGAGAGAGAGAGAGAGCAAGCAGTGTAAGTCTTTTTTGTTCCTTTGGGAAAAAAATCATTCCATGAGAAACCGTATCCTTTTTATTTGTATTTATTTATTTTTTAATATATTTTATTTATTTTTTGTACAGATAGGAAGGGAGAGAGATAGAGAGTTAGAAACATCGATCAGCCACCTCCTGCACACCTCCTACTGGGGATGTGCCCACAACCAAGGTACATGTCCTTGACCGGAATCGTACCCAGGACCCTTCTGTCCTCAGGCTGATGCTCTCTATCCACTGAGCCAAACCGGTTTCGGTTATTTGTATTTATTTTTGTTTAACCTCCCTGGAGAATTCTCCCCTCCCCTCTCCCCCCATCCATTGATTTTATAGAAACTGGAAGGGAGGCGGGGAGGAGAGAAGAGAGAGAAACATCTATGTGAGAGCTGCCACATGAATGAAGTGCCTCCTGCACATGCCCCATTCTAGGAGGGGAACCTCAAACTCAGGTACCTGCTCTTGACCTGAATCGAACCCACAGCCCTTGTTCTCCGGCCGACACTTTAATCACTGAGCCACGCCGGCCAGGGCCATATCCTTAATATTTAGTATGAACTAACTCATATTTTTGAAATACATGTACTTGGCACATTTCACTGGTGATATTCTTGGGCCCCATGTTGACTGATTTTAAACTGAACCTTTAAAATACTATTACACTCAATTAGCCGAGACCGGTTTGGCTCAATGGATAGTGTCGACTTGGGGACTGAAGGGTTCTGGGTTCGATTCCGGTCAAGGGCATGTACCTTGGTTGCGGGCATATCCCCAGTAGGGGGTGTGCAAGAGGCAGCTGATCGATGACTCTCTCTCATTGATGTTTCTAGCTCTCTATCTCTCTCCCTTCCTCTCTGTACAAAATCAATAAAAAATATATTTAAAAAATATATATATATTTAAAAAAATGCTATTACACTCAATTAAAGTGAAATTCTGTACATGTCCATTATAATTTTGACTATTTTACTAGGAAAAGACATTGAGAGAGTATGTAAAATTCATGGAATTGTCTTTGTGACTCCATCTAGGAATGAAGGCAGGACTGTTTCTTTTATCTCATTTAGCCAGAATCATTTACAGATAAGCTTTCAATAAAGACTGAGTCCACACTTCAGTGGCAGCACATATATAAATCTTTGGTCTTATTGCCCATAATGCAATATGCATGGTAATGCCTTATAAGCTTTTTACAACATTAAAGAATATAATTAAGAACATGAAAACATTTTCTTTTCCATAGTCTTCCAAGTGTGTGTGTGTGTGTGTGTATACACAATTTCATTTCCTGAGTCCAATAAAGACGTTATTTTTTAAAATTTATTTTTGTTGATTTTTTTTACAGAGAGGAAGGAAGAGAGATAGAGAGCTAGAAATGAGAGAGAAATACCGATCAGCTGCCTCTTGCATACCCTCCACCGGGGATGTGCCTGCAACCAACGTACATGCTCCTGACCGGAATCGAACCTGGGACCTTTCAGTCCGCAGACCGACACTCTACCACTGAGCCAAACCGGTTTTGGCAAAGATGTTATTTTTTAAAAATATATGTTTTGTTGATTTTTTACAGAGAAGAAGAGAGAGGGATAGAGAGTTAGAAATATCAGTGAGAGAGAAACATTGATCAGCTGCCTCCTGCACACCCCCTACTGGGGTTATGCCTGCAACCAAGGTACATGCCCTTGACTGGATTGAACCTGGGACCTTTCAGTCCACAGGCTGATGCTCTATCTATTGAGCCAAACTGGCCAGGGCCAAAGATGTTACTTGCCTTGACAATTAATCAGAGGCTGCCATTAAAATTGTAGTAACGGTATAAACTTAATGATCTTAAAAAACCTTTACACTGTGGGGGTGGCCCTTGTTTCAAGGGAGAAGGCTACACCTGAAGTGTCACTGAACTTGAAATTGCGTTGACCTTTGCTTACTTAGATTCTGAACAGGTAAATGATTAAGAAACTGTAGTATCACAGTTCAGAAATGTGAATCTGGGGCCAGCTCACTATACATCCCTTTCCCATTTTGTTTTAAGCATCTGATAGAACAAAGTGAACATTTTGCCCCAAATTCTGTTTGTCAGAAAGACCCAAGTACTAAAATAAAATATTTAAATATTCCTATCTCACCGTGTAGTACACTGCTACATTGAGTAGAAATGCCAGTGTGGCCGAAAACCGGTTTGGCTCAGTGGATAGAGCGTCGGTCTGTGGACTGAAAGGTCCCAGGTTCGATTCCGGTCAAGGGCATGTACCTTGGTTGCGGGCACATCCCCAGTAGGGGGTGTGCAGGAGGCAGCTGGTTGATGTTTCTCTTTCATCGACATTTCTAGCTCTATCTCACTCTCTCCCTTCCTCTCTATAAAAAAATCAATAAAATATATATATTAAAAAAAAAGAAATGCCAGTGTGAAGGGATCATGCTCCTAAAGATGATGTATATTAATATCAATAGTAACGAAACATCTTCATCGTTTACATTTTTCTGTTTATAAAAATTACAAATGTTGAATGCATAGAAAATTATTAAAAAGGAAAATTAAAAGAACCAATAAGCACTTTCACCATTCAGTGGTAACCCCATTAACATGTTAATGTAATTCTAATATTTTTCTAGGCAAACAAAATGGCAATCCATATACCTTTTTAACTTAACATATTATAAGCATTTCCCATTCATTCTTAAATAGTTTTAAGAGTCAGATTTTTAAAATTGTATAATATTCCCCTGCACAAATGCACTATTTTTTAAAACCAATTCCCTGATAGATATTTGTGGTTTCCAGAATTTTATTACTATAAAAAGTCAGAAAAGAAAATAGGTTTTAAGTACACATTACCACAGAAAACTTGGAAGACAGAGAACATTTTATAGGAAAATATAAATTATTTATAAGTCCATCACTCAAGTATAGTCATTGTTAACATTTAGGCAAACATTCTTTTAGCATTTTTTCTGGACACATAAACATGGCATTATTATGCTGTGCATAGTGTTGTGCAATGTGATTTTAGAAAATATCAACACTTTAACATGTCATTTGCTATCCTTCCATATGATTTAATAGATACATGATAGTTCGTTGTATAAATATAATTTATTCAATTGTTCCATTAAAACTGAGCATTTAAGTTGCTCCTATGTTTTACCTATAAACACCTATAAAAATGTACTGAACATCTCTATAATAATGTATAACATTTTCTAAGATTTCTTTAGGAAAATGGTCTAACCTACATATGTATAAATGCATGCACATGTGTATATATACACATTTATGTATTCTAGAGGCCCTATGCATGAGGATTCGTGCAAGAATGGGCCTTCCTTCCCCTGGATGCTGGCACCACTTCACTCTGGCCAGAGCTGCCTTTCTACCTTCCTATGCTGCCCAGAGGCCTGGAGCAGCTGGGGTGGTGCAGAATGCCTGAGTGGCTGCCATGGCAATGATGCAAGTGTCAAACCCCATCCCCAGCCACTCGCTGCCTGTGTATACAAATTAATCCCACCATCTTTGTTGAGTTAATTTGCATACTCACTCCTGATTGGCTGGTGGATGTCACAGAGTTCTGGTCAATTAGCACATTACTCTTTTATTAGTATAGATATGACACACACACACACACACACACACACATGACATGTGCATGCACATGTGTATGTATGTGTGTCTTCAAACCTAATTTCAAAAAGTTTGTCCCAAATTACATTTCCACCAACAATGCATGAAAGTACCTACTTTTCTGAATCACACTAACAGTAACATAATTTTCTTTTTCTTTTTTTTTTAAATATATATTTTTTTATTGATTTTGTACAGAGAGGAAGGGAGAGAGATAGAGAGTTAGAAACATCGATGAGAGAGAGTCATCAATCAGCTGCCTCTTGCACACCCCCTACTGATTTTGTACAGAGAGGAAGGGAGAGAGATAGAGAGTTAGAAACATTGATGAGAGAGAGTCATCAATCAGCTGCCTCTTGCACACCCCCTACTAGGGATGTGCCCGCAACCAAGGTACATGCCCTGGACCGGAATCGAACCTGGGACCTTTTAGTCCCCAAGCCGACGCTCTATCCATTGAGCCAAACCGGTCTTGGCAGTAACATAATTTTCTAAAGTGTTTGCACTTTGGTAAAGGAAAAGGCATACTATTCTGAAGGACATCCACCTTCAAGAGATTCTAAAAATTCATTAGTGTAAAGTGAGTCAAAGCTTTAAAATTACTATTTCTCAGACTTTAAAACTGCTTCTTTGATTGTGAAAATAAATAGAAATTTCATCCAAGTAAAGCCATCAAAATATTTCATTAAAATTCTATATACTATAGGAAGGCCAAAAACATGAAACAAGGTTCTGTTAATAAATTTCTGTTACATACTTCATAAGTTTAAAAAACAAACAAAACACACTGTGAATAGAGAGTTGCTCTGCAGACTGAAGGGTTCCAGGTTCAATTCTGATCAGGGGCACATGCCTGGGTTGTGGGCTTAATCCCCATTCGGGGGGTGTGCAGAAGGTAGCTGATCAATGATTCTCATCATTGGTGTTTCTCTCCCTTCCTCTCTGAAATCAATATATATATATATATTTTTTTTTTTTTAAACCCACACTATATACTAAAATATATATTACTTACTCTGATTCTTTGGATTATGTTGTCACACCAGTTAATTTT